TATTATCTGTGATTGCTTTACCACTGAGACAGAGCTAAGCCTTTGCAACAGGAATCTTACGGTCAACAACACCAATAAAAATTGCTAGCTAGTCTGCTGAAGGAAAGTTTGCCATCCTCGTCTCTCAGATCTTTGCATCTTGTATTAGAGTGATGCAAGCTTTTATACCAAACTTGAAATTTTTAGTGGCTTAACACATTTTTAAAAGTTTATTTCTAAATCACAGGGTATTCCTGGGCAAAGGTGGTTATTGGATATGTGTTCTACTCCAGTTACTCAGGCTGATCATTGCTCCAGGGCCACCCTGAGTAGAAACATCAGCCAACAGACAAGGGGGAAAAGAGATGATCATACCCAGGAGATGCTTATGGACTATATCTGGAAAGGGGCACACATTTCACCTCCGCCCACATTCTGTTGACCAGAACACAGTTATGTGACTCTACCTAAACTCACAGGATATTGGGCAATGTAGTGTATAGGCACGTCCAAGAGGAAGCAGGTCATGGTAAACACATAACAGCCTCTACCATGATCCATAAATGCTAATAATTCTTATGTTCAGGAAAAGTCTCTGGTTTTGACTTCTCAAATCTGTTTTAAGATTCATATACAATATGCATATGCTTAAATTTTTTTAGAAAAAAATTGAGCTCCTACCTTTTTGAAATATATACTAAATGTGTATAAATGAAATGATTAATCTGAGGAAGAAGTTTGTAAGAATTCAATAGTCTCCTTTTACCCCAGTCAATACCTGAAACGTTAGGTAGTACCAAACTTTATATATTTTGTTTTTCCCTACACATGCATTCCTGTGAGAAATTTTAATTTATAAACTAAGCACTGTAAGAGATGAACAACATAGCTATTAATAAAATAGAACAATTATAAGAATTACTGTAATAGAAGTTATATGACTAAAGTTTTCCTCAAAGTATTTCTTGTACTGTACTCACCCTCCTTTGCGTGATGTCAGTCAGATGGTACAAAGCCTAAATACCAAGATAAAGTCAGGTTAATGATGTAGGTGTTGTGACATAGTACCTGGCTACTGTGCAAAGATTACTTAACACAAGCACTGTGACGCCATGATAGGCGATCTGATAACCAAAAAGGCTACTAAGTGACTAATGGTAAGTAACAAAAGAATGATTTGCATGCTAGGTGGGATATAATGGTAATATTCAGATCTTTCATTATGCTCCTTAGAATCATACACAATTTAAAATTTATGAATTTTTAATTTCTAGAATTTCTATTTAATATTTTTATATTCCAGTTCACCCCAAGATAAGTGAAACGACAAATAATAGGTACTAGTGGTTGTGTATAGATGACAAGACTGGCCATGGATTTTGTGAAAGCTACTGGTATGAGATGGTTTATTATATTTTCTCTTTATTTTGTATATATCTATAAAAATTACACTAAGTCTAGTCTCTGCTATCTTACACCGGTCTTTAGTGAAATATAAAGTAAAAACAATAAAACTTTGATTATAATAGATCACAATGAGACAATATTCTCTTCCTGATATTAACAATAGGCATTCTGGCTTGTTATTAATTTCTCCAAATATTCTAGTCAAATAGGCTGGTCTGTAATGTAAACAGCACTGATAATAAAGACAAAATCTATGAAAGTATAGTACAATAAAGATGCATAAGAGTTAGCAATATTCATATGTCAGACACCTATAGAAGGAAGATTAAGGAATGCTAATCCATTGAGTTGGGTCTGAATAAACACCAGATTTATCATATTCATTTAGAAAACTGAGCAACTACTCTATGCAAGGCATTCTACTTGAGCTCTAAAGTATACAATGAGGCGTATCCCTCATTGTATACTTTACAATGAAGTGTCCCTGAAGATTTTACTTGTCAGGATAGGTAATATAAGTTGTGGTGCAAACATCCCAAAACCATACTGTCTTTGAACAAAAAGGTGCATTTTCATTTTCACTAAGTGGAGTGCAGATATTCCTGACCCAGTAGCTCTCTTTTGAGCAGTAACTTGGGTGTGGGCTCCTTCTATCTCTGAGATCTTTGCCATATGGAAGGTGATAACCATTCTGGCTACACTCGGGCTGTCTTATGGCCAGACCTAGACATACCAAAGCTCTACAATCCCATTTAAGTTCAAATGTAACTAGAAACTGTCCTCTAGCTATGAACCCTGGAAGAAGGAAACTGTACACTAGGGGTAGAAGGAGGGTTCTAGAATACTCTACCACAAAGGTGCTGCTAATCCAGGTCTTCTGGGAAGACAGACATGCTTCTATAAAGCATAGTAAGATCAATAATAAAGATAAGAATACAGTGCTGAAGAAGGAGGTATGATTTTAAAAACTTGCATCAGCTATCCCTGTAAGATTTCATAAATGTACTTGAAATATGTTTACACTATTAAACTTGTAATTCTGTTTCCACAACAATTGTAAGCCAGAGTTCCCAAAGCTGTCAAAAGCAGAGCCCTGCTGGTAGCCTAGAGTGGCAAATTCATTCCTAGAGCATGGATGTTTATCAATACTAACTGGTGTGTGCTTACTAGAACAGAAACTCACCTGGAATTTGCATCATTCAGCATGAAGGGACTTTAATAGGACTCATTCATACATTTGTTCAACATTTAATAAAGACATCTGTCCCCAAAATTCAATTTACATTTTTACAATGCTTTCAAAGACTTTGATCTCCAAATCTCCATTTACAATTTTACAAGAATTTACATTCATTGCAAGGGTTTTTTTCCAGAGTTTTTAAAAAGTCATTTTTCCTTAGGATCAAAAAACCGTAACTTTTAGATGAGAGGAAAAGCAGTGGAGGCTCACATGTGGGGATTGTGTGTGAAAAAAAATGGGAGGATACAGCAGCCAGGGGTCCTAATTTAGACCAGCCTGCCTCTGGCAATAGGAAAGTCACTTGTCCCTCTGTGTCCACATCACAATCTGGCACAACTGGGGGTTAAGGTCATCCTTAAACTATGGCCACAGATTCTAGTTTGTCGTGTCTTAATTTATATATATTCCATCTCCATGCTGATTCTACACCACCCCCCCTTAAGTGATTCTAATTAGAAAACACACAGGAGGATCTTTATGGGATTTGAAAGCTCCTGGGATCCCCTCTTTGATCTCCCATCTGAACCACTTTATTGTTTCAATTTCTCTCCTCAGTGCTCCAGTTGACAATCATTGGCATTTTAGAGCCGGGAGATAGCAATAAGATGCCTAACAGGTCAGGCAGCCAAAAAGTCCAAAGCAAGAACTCCCTTCCGAAATCCAGCTCTCTGCCCCCCATTCCCGCCGGGGGAGGGGACCCACCGCATCTGAAAAAGAAACACATCGCGCGCTCTATAAATAACTGTCAATAAAATTCTGGCCTGGTTATAATTTTAAAGATGCTTCATTCATCTTTAAACAATCCTTTCTTTACCAGATACAAATAAACACAAGTCTATTGTACCTATTTAAATTCTGTAAAAATGCCACAGTGACCTGAGGAACTTTCGAAATGGGGAAAGAATTAGTATTAATTTGGGTAAGATTTGGTTGAAGTGCCTTGCGTAAAGATGTGAACTCAGAAGGTAGTTGAATTAAGAATCTTTAAACAGTTTTCAGGACGCGGAAAACGAGAGTAGGAAGGCAGAAGGGGGTGGGGGAGGGCGTACCCCTAACAAAGTTTTGTTTATTTACGTTCATTCACCAAAGGAGACTCCTGAGGACTCATCCTGGTAAAACAGGCCGTCCAAGATGCGAAAGGGTCTTGGAAATTTGTTAAACGTCTGTGTGCGAACTTGCGCGAACGCCTAGACTAGGGCTGGGCTCACCGGGAGGGAAGGTCTGGACTGGCACTGGGGAGGAGGGAGGGAGGGGATCGAGTGGGAGGAGGAGGGAACGCAGTATAAAATGCTCCAGCCTCACCGAGCGCCCGCCACTCCGAGCCACTTCGGGAAGGCGGGACCCTGAGCAATACCAACAGGGAAGACAACCTGCGATGCCTCTGTCGTGACCTGAGCCCACAGCCAGACCCCTTTTGCTTCAGCATCTGAAGCAAGGATCCGCGCCCTCTCAGCTCAATCCCGGAGCCCTTCCCTTCGCCAGCTGTCCCCTGCAAGGCATGAGCCGCGCGCGGGAGCCCGAGGCTGCAGCGCGGTCATGAGGCGGTGGCCCAGGAGCAGCTGCTGCTTTACGGCAGCCCCCAAATCTCCTCCGGGCGCAGCGCCCCCAGGATGAGACCCCCCACGCAGACTCGAGACTGCCAGAGTTGAGACTCTCCGTTAGGACTCCCCTACGTCCTGAGAGCCTGAGCGCGGGACACTGCGCCTCTGCACCTTCCCGCCGCGACACCTGTGCGCTGAAGCAAATGCACGCCCAGCGAATCTGCTCACCTTCCTTCCCGGCTCTACTGTGCGCCGTGGACGCGTGACCAGAGGTGTCCAGGAATCAGGCAGCCCCGCGTTCAAGAGCCAAGTGTCAAGATCCTTCCGGAACACTTTGTCACTTCTCCCCTAATCCCCGCCTGCTTCAGGCAGGGGCGCACAGTGGCAGACAGACACCTGGTTTGTCGGTCCCTCTGTTTTCCATCATTACAACTCCAGCTCCACTTTGCCAATAAAGGTTTCCAAACGCGCCTAGGCACCCTCCTCCCCTCATCCGCAGCCCCCGAGCCTCAGTGCTAACCAGAGGGCTCTGCTCTCACTGGCCATAGTTGCATAGGCAGCGCGCGCTTGGCACAGCCGATAAGGCGAACGCAGGCTCCGGCTGAGAGCCCGGTCACCCCCAAACAGTGACAACCTCCGTGTACCCAGAGCCCCGATCTGAAGCCAGCCCTCCTCAGGATTCAGTGTTCGGGGCGGCGAGGCTGGAGGCCCGGAGGAGCACGGAGTGAGGGAGGTGGCTCGCCGGGTGAGTGGCTCCGGGGCGGCGCGGGCGGGGGAGCCAAGCGTGGAGGTAACTCCGGGCGGCCGCTGAAGCCCTCCTCCTCCTCCTTCTCTTCCTCCTCCTCCCGGCGCTCCTCTGGCGGCCGCTCCCGCTCCAGCTGCGGCGCCGAGGCCACATCTGGGGCGCCCATGTGCACTCGGGGGTTCGGCTGCGCCCGCCCCGCCGCCGCCCCCGCAGCACCCTGCCCTCAGGGTGGCCCCTGGTCTGGCCTGGGTCCCGGGCAGTCCCGGGTCCCTATCGCCGCCGCCGCCGGGCAGCGCCGGGGTTTGCTCCGCAGCTGGCTTGGACGCCCCCGGCCCCGCGGTGGCTCCGCTGTGGTGCGGCGGCGGCGGCGGCTCCTGCTCCCCAGGCCCCGTGCGTCCCGCCGCGCCCAGCGCCAGCCCTGCGGGCCCGGGGAGCGCGGCCCCGGCGGGGGCCGAGGCGGGAGCCGCGCTGCCGGACTCCCGGGCTCCGACTCCTCCTCCCCCGGCGCCACCGCCACCGCCGCCCGCCGTGCCGGGTCCTAAAGCCGCGCGTCTCAAGAGGATGGTACGCCTGGCTGCCGAACTGCTACTGCTGCTGGGGTTGCTGCTACTCACGCTTCACATCACGGTCCTGCGTGGTTCAGGAGCCGCTGACGGGCCGGACGCGGGCGCGGGCAACTCCACCCAGTCTCAGCTACAGGTGAGCGCGCCGCGGGAGAGGGGCGTGCGCAGCAGCGGGAAGCCGGGTGGCGGGGTGCAGAGAAAGCGCCTGATGGATGAAAGGAGGCGGGTCTTCAGCCCCACCAAGGACCAACTGTTTGTGGCCGCAGAGTTACCCGCATGGGTAACTCTTCTTAGGAGAGGTAGAGCCGAGGGATGGGGGGAGATGGGGTGGCGGAAGGCTGGAGCGGGTCCGGGAGTCTGCAGGATGCGCTCCTCACATCTTAGGTCAGTAGGTCAGGTACCCGGATGCCAAGCTTGGGGTGCGCAGAGGAAGAATAGAGTGCGTGTTCGCTTCAGGGGACTCGAGGCAGGATGGAATGGAGGGAAAGGGAAGGGACTTAAGATGACCATATTAGATAATACCCTAAACTGGGAAAAACTCCGGTGAAACTGCCTCCTTAGAAAGCAATGTCAAAGGTCAACGCAATGTCTAGAGATTAGCAGACACCCTTACCTCGCCCACGCTGTTCTGTGCCTTCCGTGCCCCTCTGAGGTCTCACAGGGAGTGTATACCTGTGCACTCTCCAGGCCCTAGAGAAGACGCAGAGTCAAGGCACCTGTCGTGGTTTAGTCCCAGGTTACCTGGGCTTTTAAACTTGTAGCAGTCTTCTTCCCAGTGACCCGCCCCTTTGAAGGTCGCTTTGGGAATAGGATTCTGTAAATCTCTTCAGCTCTAAAGCGGAGAGGAGTTGCGACTGGGGAGGACATATTGGGTGGTCCAGAGGCAAGATGAGTTTGGATGTCTTAAGGTTGCCTAGGTAGCGATTTCCTCCTGCTACCTTGGAAAGCGCTCCTCTTTAGGACCTGAGGCAGGCGTGACAGCTGTAAAACTAGAGAACACTAGAAGAGAGCAGGGGCTTTCTCTCAGGAGACATTCTCTGGCTAAAATCTCAAACCAGCCCCTCTAAAACTCTGCAGTGTCGAAATAAGCATTATTCATTCTTCCCAAATGGCCACCTAGTCATTATCTCTGCTAATTTCATTTTTTACATCTTTATGAAATTCGTTATGAAAACTTTACGGTTAAAGAGAGACGAATTCAAACACTTTTATAGCACCTATTGGCTCTGTGGTACGGTTTTAAGTGCTTTATAGAATTTAATTCATTTAATTTCAGCATCATTCTACGAGGCATAGTACTGTTAAATGCCTCTTGAAAACTGAGGTACTGAGAGATTGATTAATTACACCACGCTTTGTTTCTGCCAGACTAAAGCAAGGCATGCAAATGCAAAACCAGGCATGGAAAAGTGTACACCTCAAAGCTAGTGTTCTTTTAAATTCAGGACATGTATAAAAACACCCTAACTTTATAGGGGTCTCTCATCTTATCCTGTGGGTACACAGGTACAGTGACAGGCTGATAGAATTTCTGTAGGGAGATGGTAAGGTATAGCTGTCCGGTAAAGTGTGGTACACCCACCAGCCTAACACTGTAGGAATAATTCTTAATATTTTCAAGATTTCTGGAAGTCATATTTTATACATGATGCTCTTTCCTCATGGACTCATGAAAAGCCATAAAAATGATGTTCTGTGGAAAAGTAAATTTGGCAGATTTCTTTATGGGGTGTTTGCTATCATTAGAATAACCTGGGGTTGGCCTTTCCTCCCCAACAGTAAGTTAATGAGAGTAACAGCTGGTGGAAGTGGCTCAAATTCTCCAAAGGGGCTTTGGCTGAAGAGCTACCCCTCTTGGGGGCAGAAGAAATGGTGGATTTAGAAAGAGTAATGATCCTAGGAATATCTTGGGTCCCAAGTAGTGCTAATCCACCAGCCCCAACCTATCTTGTAATAATGTTCAGTTTTATTGACCATTCAAAGCACTCCTTTACCAAGCAGAATGATGAGTTTAGCAGGTTAGTTCACAATTTTACTCTTTTTGTAATTTCTTATTATAAAAATTTTATATTCTTCCTGACCAAAGTTATTTCTTTGGCCTTCTGATTCTAACAGTACTACAATTCAAATGGACAGAGTAAGTTCTGCCAAGTGAGGAGGTCTGCAAAATACATTCATCTGGGCCCAGAAAGTGCATTTGCTAGTAGCAGGTGCATATGAAGACAAAAAAACACTGTCGATACTGTATTCTTTCTGTTTACCAGGCATTTAAAACCCAAGTGAGGTCTTAAACCCCATCTAACTGTTGGCTCTGATATCTCAGCTGCTAGAATCTTTCTTAATAATCAGAAAGTTAATCAATCCTTACACATTATTTTTGGCATAATCTCTGCTTAAAACATTCTAAAATATGAGGTCAGCTGAGTCAAAAACATTCCACGGTAAGGGTACCCAAATTGCACTATATTGGGGATCATTTAAAGAGAAACACACCTTTATTTCAGATTTGGTATTTTGGATATATCAAGGACACCCAATAAAACAGTACTAGGAATAACAACAATAATGGCTAAGATTTATTAAGTGCCTTTGATGTGGCACTCACTGTTCTTAGCACTTTACATATATTAACTTCCTTAATCCTAAAAAATCCTATGAATTAGGAACTATCATTATCCCTGTTTCAAATGAAAAAACAGAGGTTATATAACTTGCCCTAAAGTTGCAAGGCTAGAAACTCCTTAATTAGCTTTTGTTATTTTATACTGTAAAAACGTACACTGCAGTATATATTTTGAATTGTGTATTCCAAATTATGTATTTGTATTCCAAGTTCTTGGTAAACTCAATATTGCTACAAGACAGAAAAGTTCTCAACAAATTACATTTTCAAATGCACCTAGATGGTCTTCCTGTGTTAAACATGAATACATATGTGTATACAAGGACACACCTACATACACACATTCTATAAACATCTAACAAGATTTTGGGGGTAGTTTCAGGATTCTAGAGGGGACATATTTTTTACTCTAAATAGCTGGCTCAGTACTATATGTGTGTTGTTATGAGATGACAGTAAAATACTTTGAACACACTATCTCCATTGGTTAATGGCTCATGAAAATAATGATGCTAGTCTTTGTACTGTTATCAATATTTTACAATATCTAATAAAAATTGAACAGTTGTCTGCCATAAAAATGCATGGAAACGTCAACTTCTTGACTTTTGAATGAAATCTTATCTCCTCTTTGGGATAATGTTGCCGCATGTTGATCGGATACACAGATTAGTTCCTTCATATGTCTTTAATTAAATGATAATGAGAAAACAATTACATATAATAAAAGCAGTCTGGAAGACAGAACATCTCAAAATATAGATTCCACAGGCAATAACAATTATAATCATAATAACGATATCTTTTTATGTGAAATTCAAAGGAGTGCCTTTCTAATAAATCTTAATCAGATTTATAAAACTAGACCTCATTAAGGCAGCGAGATGTAAGCAAGATTTATAAGACACAAAATTGATTATTTTTATAATAGCATTAAAGCAAACCAAGCTCTGAAATGTAATGAAATGACTTTGTTCTCAATCTCCTAGCTGCCATCTTTATGAGTAGTCTACCTCTTTTATCCATCTATTGCCTTCAATAAAACAGCTTAGCTTCTTGTACCACTGTTTCATCTGAGCCATATAGCAGTGGAAGCCAAAGCAACATTTAGTTTTACAAGTAACGTTTCTTACCAGGACCTCAAGGGACAGATGTACAACAGTCCCCTATTATCCTCAGGAGATATGTTCCAATACCTCCAGTGGATGTTTGAAATTACAGATATTACCAAACCCTACATATACTATGCTTTTTCCTCTATATGCATGCCTATGGTAAAGCAAATTTATAAGCTGGACATGGTAAGAGATTAAGAGCAATAACTTGTAATAAGATAGAAAAATTATAATGATACACTGTCATAAAAGATTTCATCCACACTACTCAGATTTAAAACTTAGGAATTACTTATTTTTGCAACTTTCCATTCAATATTTTCAAACCATAGTTGATTGCTGGTAACTAAAACCATGGAAAGTGAAGCCACAGATAATGGAGGGTTATTAAATTGAGAACTGAAGAGATTTAAGTAACTTGCTGAAGGCTACAGGCTGCCATGGGGTAGGGCCAGACAAGCTGACTATGGAACCCAAATTGTTGTTTCCATTTATAACAAATGGTTGAAATTAGCAACCAGTTGTGTTTCTTGTTTCCCAACTTGCCTGCACATTTTCCAGTCAGACATCTTGCTTTTATCACTAGAATTCTTTCTTTATTTATTATTTTTGTTTATTTTTCTTTTTTTATTATCATCATATTTCCATTGTATTGGGTACTAGAATTCCTTATAAATGATGGATAATTTGCCACATAACAAACCACCCCACAGATTAGTGGTTTAATACAACTACCATTTTATCTATATATATGTCAGCAATTTGCTCTGGGCTCAGCAGGATGGTTCTTCTGTTGACTGTCCCTCCAAAATACTTACATAGCTATAGCCATTTGATGTAGGTGAGATGGTCCCAGATGACCTCACTCATAGGTCTGTCACTTAGGTCCTCTCTACATAATCTCTTCTCCTCAAAGAGAGTAGCTCACATGTCTTTATGTGATGGATTCAGAAAAGCAAGAAAACAAAAGCAGAAGTTCCAGGGCCTCTTGACAGACTTGCATGTTGTCACTTTAGTCATTCTGTTACACAAACAGATCATGGGTCAACTTTGATTTGCAGAGACAGGAAGTAGATTCTGTCTGTTGATGGAAGGAGCAGCAAAGTCACATTGCAAAGGAAAGAATCATTGTGGCCATCTTGGTAAAATACCTACCAGATATACGAAGTTGCATCCAATTTGATCAGGGTTTTCCCTAATTTTGCACCTGTCTTTTAACATTGCATATGTTGCCATACAGTAACTTTCTGTCTTAAATGTAAGCAATTCTGAGTCCTTTCACACAAATTTGTTTTGTTCAAGTAAATAGCCAGGTGTCCCATTTTATTTGTCAAAAACATTCATTCATACAAAATCCCACTTTTGTCATACACTGGTTTTCACATTTTCATAAGTCTG